TCTCTCTCTGTCTCTCTCTGTCTCTCTCTCTCTCTCTCTCTCTCTCTCTCTCTCCCCCTCTCCCCCACTCCCTCCTACAAAATGTGAGCTCTCAGCTACTGCTCCAGTACAATGCCTGCCTGTCTGCTGCCATGTTCCCTGCCCTGCTAACCATGAACTCTTAAGCCCCAAATTAAACTTTGTTCTATAAGTTGCCTTGGTCATGGTGTTTATCACATCAACAGAAAAGTAACTAAGGCAGATTACAGTTTGCTCATGCTGAAGGTACCATTTTAAAGCTGAAAGCTCTATTCAGCGGTCTACTAATTTCCATGGGTAGTTTTAACTGTTCGCCTGGATGCAGGAACCTTCATTGATCACGCAAGCCAGAGGATTGTCCTCCCCACCTCCCCCCCCCCCAAAGCTGTCCTTCATCTCTCACCCTGCCTAACACAAGCCACAGCTCAGGCTCTCTGTAGGAAACCACTTACATAGACTGTAGTGGGGTATACCACGGGCTGGATTCCAGGAGTCTGTGGGAGAGATGGGGATTCCATAGATTTATATGCATACAAGCGACACACACTCCAGGGGGACCTCAGCATCCAGCCCTTGAGACCTCCATCCCCCCTCTCACACCAGCATTTCTGAAACTCCCTGCTGTTTTCCTGGAGTCAATTATGGTCACCTGCCCTTCAGCCACTCCCCATGCAGCCCCACCAACTTGGGGTTCCCCACCTGCACTATTCTGGGGGAAGGAGATTGCGTAGGCCCATGCCTGGGCTGAGGACTCTGCCTACGTGACCAAGAATTGTTTAGGTAATTCTTGAATCAATAGAATCACTTGATGTTAGCTATATACATTATAATACATGCTTCCTGGTGCTGTCCCTGCCCTTGGAGGGCTATTTAAATGGACTTCTCAGCATCAGCTGGGAGCCCTCCTGAGATGATATGGTGTTTCCTGTCTCATCATTAGCGTCGTTGAGTAATTAAACTTCTCTAGTCCACACACCTCCACTCAGAATCGGACCCGGGACTGTACGGCTGGCTCCGTTCACAGTCCTGAAGACATCGGTCCGGAACAGGCCATCAGTAGTGCCTTGGCATGGGCTTCACCTTAGTTAGTAAGCAAGCCAGAGGCTTGGACCACCACACTCCAGCCTGGCCCAGTGTGTCTGCCAGACCTACTCCTCTGAACCTGGGCTGTCCCCAGGAGAGCCCTGTCATCTTCCTAGCACAGGGCCCGTCCCCAGCTTTCTCCATCTTCTTTCCTATGCACTTTGGTTCCAACTTTGCGACTCTAGGAAATTCTGGTTTTGATTAAAGGAAAGCAGTGGGGCTGTGAGATAACCAAAACATTTTAGACTTACAGGAAGCATTGGTCCAGGGGCGGTGTGAACTGTGTGGATGACAGTTTGAGCCTGGGAAAAAGAAATGGGTCTTAACCAGCGCTCTCACCATTGTGAAGACAACTACCTGCCACCAGAGGGCGCTACTTGACATCCACCCTTAAGCCTGAACCTTGACCTGTAACCAGGGAGGTCATTCACCACGGCCTCCCCTCTCCTGGAGGGGAAGAAGGATTACCACTAGAGTTCCACCTCACCAGCCTTGATTTGCAGGAGGGAGAGGTGAATGTGTGGCAAACAAACCCATTCAGATTTTCTGCCCTATTTCTGCCTCTCCAGTGCTGGCATTACAACTGCCCCTGAGCACCACAGTGTGTTGTTTGTGAAGCACTGAGTATCAGACAGGGGCTTTGCCAGTGCTGGGCAAGCTCTCCACCAACAGAATTTGTTTTCTATTTGATCAGAGCCAGCCAAGCACACCTGCAACCCCTTCCCGCCAACATCGCTAAGGCCTGGTGGGTGGGGAGTGTGTATCGCGTTGTCTGCCCTCATGAGGGAGGTACAGGTTTAACCCACAACAAGAGCCCTAATGAAGAGGTTCTAAAACATAAAAGGATCAAGTGACTTACCACAGGTGCCTGGTGGACAGGCCGAACGCTCTGAAGCAGCAAAGGATAGAGGGGGGTGAAAAAGAGAGATGTTATCTCTGGAGCCATGTGGGGTGAGAGGTGACTTCAAACTCTAGGTGTGGTTCTTGTGGTCAGCTGTACCTTCCTAGTCACGATGATCACCTCCTTTCTGAGCCTGTTGCACCCAAATTCTCACCCTCATGTGCACAGGGTGTCAGGGTTAAGGGAGGGAGACTGTCCTCTGGCTTCCTGCCAGACCATGTTGCTTCTCTGGGCCCCCAGAGGCAAGAGCACCACCCCGAGCTCCCCTTTCGCCTGTGAGGTGAAACTTAGCATTCAGTGCTCAGTTCCAGTGCTTTCCACCGGAGGCCAGCATGCTTCACTCCATCCCTCTGGGGAGCTCCAAGGCTCATGAAGGTTAAGCAACTTGTCCAGGCTAGCACAGGTGGCGA